CATAAGTAACTTTATACTGGCTAACCTTCCTGTTACAGGATATTGATTCGACCTTAGCATAGCTTTAAAAGTCATTTATCACACTTCCTCTAGCCTTCTTTATCCTCCACAAACCGAGGCTTTACATTTAAAGTAGATGATCTGATTTCAAGTAAATAAAGCAAATCTGAGTATTCGAAATAAATTTTCCAATGACACTTTTTCTCCTATACTTGTAAGCTTATCTCTAGTTATCAGTATTATTTTATTATCGATACCACTTTAGCTAACTACACCATTCACCTCGTATTCTGGTTCGTTTTTAGGTAATTATTAATGAATTGATCTAGGTGTTCTCCCTAAAACCACTTTCAAAAACAAATATGATTGAGAACAGACAATGTCATCATTGAAGAGGAGATAAATATAAGTATTGTAGCGGTAAATAATTCCCCAAAATTATTAACCACAGCAATCATCACTCAACATTGGATGCTGACCATCACTGTTTAAGTCGACTTGTTTAGCTGAAGGCTTACGGTCAAGCATCCCCGCCATTTGGTGCTCCGTCGTGTCACGTGCGTGCACGATTACTAGCTAGCTAAGCATTCATTCCTACCCGCGATTTGGTCCCAAAATATATATCGTATTTGGACGACAAAATCTGGTCTTTTGCTTTACCATTTGGTACTCGAAGAACGAACACTATAGTGGTTGTTGGTATAAGATCTTGCGTTAGTATAATCCGTACAACTCGCGAACGTCGATACCCGCAGCCCCTAAACTGGTGAGCCCAACCTCGAACTTCATCTTCAATTCACACGCAGATAAACCCGGTGAGTTCGTTCCTTTTTGTGTTTATTCTTGTACTATATTGTTATCGGCATACTTTTCGTCATGAGTGATCCTAGCCCCAAGGTTATTCAGATTCGCTCAACCGCCAAAACAATCCAGCTAGTACCATTTTGGCCAGATAATGCTGAAACGTGGTTTCAGATTGCTGAGTCCGATTTTTGTGAACATGGCATAACTGATCAACGTTCACAGTTCCTTGCAGTTATTCACGCCCTACCGCGGGAATTCAGCAAGTGCGTAACTCTGCAGATGTCGGTAAGTAACTCGTACGAGTTGCTAAAAGCATCCATCCTCAAGAGAAACGTTCTCACAGATCGACAACGTCTGGATGAGTTATTTCGTAACATCGAGTTAGGAGATCAGTCAGCCGTGAGCATGCTGGCAAGAATGAAAGAGATCATTGGCCAAAGTCAGTTCGATGAAGGACTGTTTAGAGAACTATTTTTATCCAAACTGCCACAGTCAGTTCAGACTGTACTTGTGACACTTCAGGGTGTTCTCATAGATGATTTAGCTGTCTCTGCAGATAGAATTCTAGAGATAACGAAACGGCCAGTTACCGAAGTATACTCTGTTACCGAACAGACTTCGAAGAAGGATTCTGCAATGATAGAGTTAATCAACTCCGTCCAGCAGATGCTTAGGTCAAACAAGCCTAGCAATTCCTCCTATCGTCGTTCTAAATCCCCTCAACGGCAAAACGCACGTGGACGATCTAAGTCCAACACACGCTCTCTCAAAAATCCTGACTGGTGTTGGTATCACAACACCTATGGCAAGGAAGCGAAATGTTGTCGAAAACCTTGTGATTTCGGCAAAGCCTCCAAGTCTGTGGGAAACTATCCCGCCGGCACGCGTTAGCGGCAACCGTCGCCGGTGGCACTAGCCGCTTACTTTACATCCATGATGTAATTAGCCAGACTAGATATCTAGTCGACACAGGCGCCGAAGTCAGCGTCCTTCCTGCTACAGCAGCAGATCGACAGAAGGATCCTAACTTCAACCTACAGGCTGCAAATGGAAAACCAATTGCAACCTATGGTCGGAAATACGTCTATCTGAACGTAGGTTTACGCAAACCTATTCAGTGGATTTTCCTAATCGCTGACGTCACAATGCCCATCATCGGCACGGACCTACTTAATCATCATGATTTGCTCGTAGACGTCCGCCGTAAACGACTAATTGACAACACTACTAGTTTGTCTATCAAAGGCATAACTTACAGTGGCCCCAGCTTGTCAATCGTTAAGATGAAAGCAATCCTCGATCCAACTTTTCAACCGATTGTTGACAAATATCCGGAACTGAATTGCCCATCTAACGATCTCCCGTGCATAACCAGCAATGTTATGCACCACATCATAACCTCAGGACAGCCCGTGACATCTAAAGCACGACGACTGGCCCCTGATAAACTGAGAATTGCCAGAAACGAATTCGATCATATGCTCACCCTTGGCATCATTCGACCATCGAATAGTCCATGGGCATCCCCATTGCATATGGTACCGAAAAAGGATAGTAACGATTGGCGACCCACTGGTGATTACCGGCGAGTGAACGCCAAAACAACCCCTGATTGCTACCCTTTGCCTCACATACACGACTTGACGGCAACGTTATCTGGAGCATCTATATTCTCCAAAATCGACTTGGTTAAAGCATATAACCAAATCCCGATGGCAACGGAAGATATTCCGAAAACGGCTATCATTACGCCTTTCGGACTTTTCGAATTTCTACGTATGCCATTCGGCCTCCGGAATGCGGCCCAAACATTCCAACGCTTCATCAACGAAGTATTTCGCGGTCTCGACTTTGTATACGCATACTTAGACGACTGCCTCATTGCCAGTCCAGATAAGGAAACTCACCTTAGACACTTGGACTTGGCATTTGAAAGGTTACGCCAACATGGTGTTACCATCAATATACAGAAGTGTCAAATAGGCGTTGACTCACTCGATTTTCTGGGTCACACTATTGACTGTCAGGGCATTCGCCCACTGGCTACTTCGGTCGATCACTCTAAAAAAACGCGTTCTGGACGTCACGTTAGATTCCCAGAATACCTTCACACCTATCTCACATAACTGAGTGACACATCAATTTTTTTTTATGTTGCGTCATTTAACACAAGTAAATGATATTTTTCCTATAACCGTACATAAAATTATATAAGATGTATATTTTTTTCCCCGATATTTTGAACTTTACATTATTTTACTGTATAGTAGATGCATGTCGTATTTTTTTGGTAAAAAAACGCTTATTTGGTACATTTTTCTTGACAAGGTTCTCAGCATTCTTGTTTTCTTTTCCAGGTGCAACGGGCACTGGACAGGAAACAAACGAAGCACGGGATCCAACGAACAACACTGAGGAAGCTATGTACAGACACCCTATTAGCATAGGCAGACAGACCAGCAGGCTCTCCATCAAGCCGCTTGGAAGATTTTTTTCACCCATCAGGGAACCATCGAGATTTTTTTACTTCCGGCTGGTCATGTCTTAGGGTCCTCACAAACCCACTAGGGGGGGAGTGAGCTGTAGCGGTAAATAATTCCCCAAAATTATTAACCACAGCAATCATCACTCAACATTGGATGCTGACCATCACTGTTTAAGTCGACTTGTTTAGCTGAAGGCTTACGGTCAAGCATCCCCGCCATTTGGTGCTCCGTCGTGTCACGTGCGTGCACGATTACTAGCTAGCTAAGCATTCATTCCTACCCGCGATTTGGTCCCAAAATATATATCGTATTTGGACGACAAAATCTGGTCTTTTGCTTTACCATTTGGTACTCGAAGAACGAACACTATAGTGGTTGTTGGTATAAGATCTTGCGTTAGTATAATCCGTACAACTCGCGAACGTCGATACCCGCAGCCCCTAAAGTATCAACATCAATTTAGGCTCGTTTTTTGTGTAAATTATCCTTTAATTGGACAGCTTAGCAACACTACAATCCAATAACTATGATACACAAATGAAGATTAAACATTGTACTAGGATGGCTTATAAAGCTATTTAAGCAACTGCTTTCAGATTTCAGGTACCAAAGTTCCAGAAAAGTCAGCAAAATTCGGTATATCATATTTTACAATACTATGTACTACGGACTAGTACGAGTAGGTGAAAAGCATCCAAGTTAAACACCAGTGACTGCTAGCCATACCGAAGTTGTCTAAGGACTTGGTAGTCATTTTGCATGTTAAAAACTGAGCTCAAGAGAAGATTATATGAACAGATTCAGTTCTGATAATCTAGTCAGTTCAATCCACTCGAGTTAAGCTTATTCTAGGTGAATACATCACTCCAAATTAGCATAAAGGCTGAACAGCGTTTAGATTTCTTCCATCTCGTTAATGCGCACCATCGTTTGATGTGATTTTAGCCTGTAAGACACATTACCAAGCCTGTTTTATTGGTTGCTTTTTATGATATCAAACAGATTGCATATTGTGATCCAAACATTCCGGATTTCCAAAATGAAATGGTGGCAAATATACACCATGAGAAGTGTAATTTGCGAATAATCCATATTCTGGCATATATGAGAGTATTAAGTTGTCCGACTACATTTCACTATTGTGTGACTGAAAAATATTATGTCTAGTTCAAGGGAAATCTGTGACAGTTCATAAAGGTAATCAAACCATTCGTGCATCCGTGTCACCTAAGTTTAAAGCAGTTATATCTGTACCAACAAAAAATTTAATGAACCAACAGAGACTCATTGGAATTATAATTCAAATGTGAATTTACAGTTGTTATAACAACTGTAAATTCACATAAAAGTTATTATGCAACTGATATATAAGAGATTCCCATGTGGAAAGCAAAACACCTTGAGTATAGTCATTGAGTATGCCACCTGTTAGTGGAAAAAGGTATATGAGCCTATTAAAGTGATAATTATCATTCAGTTGCAGTGCATATGAAATGCACTTCATACGTGTATAAACATTTGATCAAAAATTATGACAGAGGTGACTACAACTAAGCACCTTAAAAACCATTTACTGCAGTTATTTTACACATTTTCGCCATGATTACGAATAAAAAAAGCTTTAAAAATATCCTAAGTAAACACATATATAAGATTAACCATACACCAGAAACAATTATTCTACTCAGAATATAAAATATCACAAGTTACCATTCTTTTATTTCAGAAACTCTATGATATCGCGTGCCTGAACCCAATGTGCTGCTCATAACGATGCAGAAACGCTAAAATCAAAAATGAGTCTCTAACAACAAGTTTACATTTGTCCGTTTAAACAAACTTTCTCCAACAAAGCATGTCGTTGTAAATCAATTCACTTTGTTTGTTAAACAAATAAACCTTAGTTAGTAGTACTGAATTTTCGCCAGTTTTTACTGCTGTCTCATACAGTCAACACGTCTGACAAAATGTTGTCCATTGTTCTGTGATCGTTCTCCCCTATAATTTTTTGTTACCTCATTTACCTAAATACATTCTCGGACCTGCGTTAATTTAATGCATTTCCTACACTACTTTGGTGGTGTTAGACACTCCTGTCAAACATGTTAAGATCGGTAGGATAAGGTGTTAGCAGGTCGTTGGAGAAGGAGGACGGGTGGCTACATAGTGATCACTAACGTTATTTCTAGTTGAGATCAGCAAGCTAAGTGATGTGAAGCCCCGCAAGTACAGGAAGTGTCTAGCCGACTATACATGGTGGATACGATGAAATGAAGATTGAACCAGCCTATTTATCCAATGCACTTTGTAATGTTCGTTAATATTTTCTGCAGTAGTTCTATTCCCTCATTTTTTCTCAAGCCGAGTGGAGCTTAGGAATTCGGCATCGTATCTCCACCGCATCCTCCCCTCTGATATCTTTATAAGCTGGCCATTCACTACTACCCACTGATGATTACTTTGTGCTGTCATGACACCCTCTCTGTTATAACTGGAGTCCTCATTTGGGTTCTAGTAAAGGGTCTGTTGTCTCGTGTAGGCTAACAGTAGTGAGTTTTGTGTGTATGCGAGGATATGTTCTGGGCTTTCAGGCTGCTAACATTATGCATCCTAACAGTTCAACTGTTGCTCGAGTGCTATGTGTACTGCTCCCTACGAAAACCTTGCGAAACTTGACAGATCAGTTTATATTTAAATATATGTTCCGATCTTCACATTATTCCATCTAAGTCAGTCACTATCATTACTTTTATTAATTTCATTATTATAAATGGTGAGCACCCAACCAGCCACTATCTGGCATACTGCCATCAACATGGTAACTTATGTCAACTTAGTGACAATGGCCCCGGAGGGTTGATGTCAAGTCCTCCATCCACAGCTACTCATACTTCACAGGTGGCACAGTGGTTAGGACTCTCGCCGACCATGCACATGATCCGGGGTTCGATCCCCTACCACGCACACCCGATATCTATGGTCGGCCTTCAAAATTTGGGCTACCGATATCCATGCTGAGAATTCCATACTTGTACTGAAAATACGGTGTGGCATCAAGCTGTAATCAAAAATAAAAAATAAAATAAAATTCTGTGAATAATTTAGAATCATCTGCACCAAACCACAAAAGTTTAGCTGACAAAACCCCGTTTGTGACTTACCCATCAGTTCCTCCTCTCTGTGGCAGAAGCGATATTGCCCATGTGAGTGAAAATGACAGGGACGACAACCGTTAAATTCCTCTTCTTGCTTGTGACTGGTACTTGTTGTTGATCGGATGACTTCATCACATCCATTTTCTCCATGCTCACATGAAGCCCAGTCTTTGCTGCCTGTACAGAAAACATGCCGGTTTTATCTCGCAGTTTTTCGAAATGGTAAAACGCGAGGCAAATCACCTGCTAAGTCCAGACCTTCTAGGTCCTTTCTATTAGTCCGGCATTTGCTCATCTTCTCGTTCCCCACTGTCTGCTGCATGAGCCTGTACACCAGATGTAGAATGATCGTCGTTGGTGGTATACATCATCGTCTTTCTCCTGTCTCACCTTCAAAGGCCTTGGTGAGCGTTCGGTCACGAACTACTTGGCACGGGACATCATCCTACAGTCACTGAATGAGATTTATGAATGTTTGCGGTACTTTATTCTGCAGTGTTACAGAGACTGTCAAATCACTTGGTGTTCGATACTGTCGAAAGCCTTCTCAATGTCCACTAAGTTGACGTAAATTGTTGACAGTCGTTCTAGGATTCACCTAATGATGGTACGCGGTGCTTGAACTTTGTCTAAACATGGTCTATTTTTCTTCAATCCGGGTGGTATTAGACGAAGCCTTCAATCCAGGTCACTTTCCAGTTCCTCCCCAAGATCATGCGTATTCATATTCTGTTTGGGATAGAAAGAAGAATATTGTCACTTTGATCCTTACACAGGCATCTGCGTACGGGTTCGAAGTCTGCTTAGTTAATATTTAGTTAATTTACTTTCGACTTCACCTTGAGAGGTGCACTACAGTTAACATAATGGTAGTAGTTTTGATTGAAAACTAGTCAGTAACTAGTGTGATGTGGCTAGTCCTCGGTACTTGGTGCAAACTGAAATCTATCAGTCAGGTTTGCAATGTGGCCACCATGCCACTAGGTTGTTCACCACCACAGTGCACACTGATTTGGTGATATCACATAGTTGGAGGCGGTCGGCAGTAAGCCTTGGACCTAGGTTTCGTGCTAGTTGGCACTCGCCGGTCAGCAAGGCATATCTGCAACCTTGAAGGAATTCATGTCTTTTCTGAGATTGGAACCCGCATCAACATGTGCTGCAGTCAGAGACGTGACCACCACTGAGCTATTCGGGGTTGATATTGACCTCCTGTAGGACTATAGTGGGTATTTTGATTGGACACTAGTTACTAGTGTTTTCATTCATTGGGAAATACAAAAAACCTTTATTATAATCATATCAGTATAGAAAGTGGACCTTACTTTCACAGGCTGTGGAATGGATTTATCAGTGTTCACTTTGGCCAAGACGTCTGAATGTATTCTAAAGGCCTTTATTAGTCAACTATTGGAGCAGATTCGTAATATTTGAGATCATATTCGGAATTTGTGGCCTACACAATTTGGTGTTACCACAAATTCATTTGATAGTGACACACATACACATCAGTGTGCGCTTCCTACTACATCGTCGCATCTCAGAGGGCTTATTTTAAGCGTCTCTGACCAAACAGGACTAACACTCATGACATAACATAATGAAGAATGAGCACGTGGCTCAATGTACATCCACTGCAAGGTAGAAAATGGTGAAACAAGGTGCTTTTTCGTGTGTGCTTAATAATAATTAATTAAATAATCCATTTCGAAATTTACTATCGAGAATTTTTATCTTTACGAGTGAATATAGAAATTCAGAAGATTATTTCCCCTAAAATAGTAACCTTAGTACCTGCATGTCACTCCATTTAGAATCATGAACACTCGTGACTTGTCAAAGTTCGTTTGGGCTATTCTTTTGCTGGATCTATTTTTCTTCATACACGTCAATTGTGAATGAATAACACGACATAGTTTGTAGAAATCGTCTTTTGTAATCCATTATAGATAATGTTATATGAAAATATCAATCTTTTGAATTTAACTGAAGACTTGTAGACCATAAACCACAAGAAACTGAGGATACAGTCATATTGGATTTCAGTTGTTGAGCTGTTAAAACAGACTGTTTCACCGGTATATCCACAGCTTCCACAGATGAATCAAGGCCTAACTGACCATATCCATTCCAACCAAAACAAAATATGATGCCATCTTCGGTGAGACAAACTGTATGATGACCGCCACATGAAATCTGGGAAATAGGCAGTTCATCGAGAAAATCTACAGGTGTTATGGTAGCAAGCACAGAAGCACAGCTTTGACGTTCATTTTCACTGATTACCCCCAACTTATTCTTCACTCCAAGTGACGTATGCCCATATGTATATATGGCGTTGGGGTCAGTCTATATGAACAGGAAATTGCATTACGCATCCTTGAAAAACTGTAAGTATCATGTCCTCCCCTCGCTAGTTGAAGCAATGTTGATGACAGCCTGGACACCAGTTTGGGTGGAAGAGGTTAGACTTAGCACCCACTAGTACACATGGCGAGGTTTAGAAGTTCACCTACCATGAACCGGACTTGAACGCCTCATATGGCTGGTGGGCATTCTACTAGTGAACCACCTATGCGAGTTAATTTACCAATCATTGTAAGGCCCACCGAAAAAGCTTCCCGCCCCAGAGTATCGAGTTCCAACAACCCAGCTATATAAAGTCATAGAAGAAACAGATAAAAAATTCCAAAGGATCATATGTACGACAAAAACGCTGACTGTCATTAACTGAACCTCAGCTGAAAAACTATGCCCAAGCCCTTTTTATTTTTTTTGATTTTACAGCTTGATTCCACACCGTATTTTCAGTACAAGTGTGGAATTTTCAGCATGGATATCGGTAGCCCAAACTCAGGCTGACCATAAATATCGGGTGTGCGCCGGCAGGGGATAGAACCCCGGACCATGTGCATGGTCAGCGAGAGTCCTAACCACTATGCCACCGACGCATTCATTAATGGCTTCAGTAGGCGCAAAACCGGTCAAGCATCCATTCCATTTGGCACGCTGTCGTGTTGCATTCTGTCACTCATGCAGGATCCCTACCTATCTAAGCAATTACCATAGCACTACGAATCTCATCCGGAAATATATCCCCCATTTTGGACGGTTAATTTGGTGTTCTTACTTGTCTTTGGCTTCAGTAGAGCGAGTATTATAGGAGTTAAAGGATAAGAACTTGTGTTTGTATGCACCGTACCTTCCGTAAAAGTAAACATCCTTTCCGCTGCTAAAATATTATTAGCATCTAAAAACTGAGTATAGCAGACACCCTAGGCACCAACAAAATTATTTTATTTTTCTTGATTATAACTTGATTGCATATAGTATTTTGGTACAAGTATGAGTTTTTCAGAATGTGATATCGGTAGCCTACATTTAGCAGGCCTACCACTGATCTCAGGTGTGCGTCGGCCAAGAATCGAACCCTGTACCAATATTCGTCGTTAATACTTACAAAATCCAACAATGAGAGTATAAGGAAGGACTCTGCATTGTCTCAAACTACATAACTTTTACACCAGGAGGTGAAATATTAGAATCCATCTTTCATTATGTGACCTGAAAACCAGACGGTTAGCCTTGTCGTGAATTAAAAGTCGGGAAAATACCAGTATATATTTGTAGAATGCTGGTAATGATGTAGATAAGCCAAACTATGCCAACTCTGATGAATGAAGTTTCTTTGGTCTTCGATAAATCTTGTAAGTATTGATGGCGAGACGCAAATTAGAAGGACCCGGACAAATAGTCATGTGCTTTCTCCGGTGGTATACTTGGATATAATAAGAAGCCAAGGTAATTCTGGCGAAACGATTTAGCAACCTATCTAGTTTGAAAGGCCGTGCAACCAACTCAGAGAATGAAACTGTCCATCACATAAGCAGAGAGTGCGAAAATGGTGTTGGCGTCAGTCTGTAGGTGTATACGTTGAAACATGTTTTGAACATTAGAATGTGCACTACATACTAATGAGCCAAAGTTTAGTTTTCATTTCCCAAATTGCGAAAGTCAAACTATCATTTCAAAATTACGGTGACCTTGAGCAACCAAACAGATTTCCGATGCACAAAAGTCAAATAATCGTTGAAAAATACACTAAAAAATTACTGCTTACATGGTATTACACCGCATAGTTGTAGCTTATGTGTTGTAAGAATGTCTCCCAGTCAATGCACAGATCATCTATGGAGAAATCGAACAATGCGCGAAATACTCATTCATCCGAGTGACTGTAGGTCATGGTACTTTGCGATTTATCGGTATTTCTGAAACGACGTGCATTTTTCCGTCTAACAGGAAATATCCACTTTTGTGAATAATTCGTTTGGGAAACCTGATCTTCCTATCCGGCGAATTTTATTCAACCATTTCTTCTTCACCGAGCCTGTGTTTGGTACTTCCCACTGTCTCGAACTACTGCCCAAGCTTCAGGTGCTACTTCTGTAGCAACATCCCCCTCACTCTTTCAAATATACAGGACTTGTTGGTCTGTTACGTGATTGTTGTGAAGCCGAATAACCCGAAAGTTACAGGTAAAGTCAAAAGCTTTTACTTATATACTTTATCTTTCTGTTCTGTGCTTTCTACTGTCTTTTGCTGTCAGTCTATTGGACAAAACTCCACTCTCTCTTATCATTTAATCATCGGTATTATTTTAGGAGTAAAATGACTATAGATTCTCATCCCAAGATAAGTAATGGGAGACCATGCACCGTAGTCACCAGAGCTTCAGCCAAACTAAGCAAACAGGTGAATAGTATGACACCTATATCCACAGTAGGCCTTGAAACAAACAGGAAGGCCAATAAGAAACGTTCACGACGTCGCAAGACGACGAAAACGTTCCCCAAGAAGGCAGACGATTGCAAGGTCTGCAATTCTATTGTCGAACAAGCAGACTCTGCTTTCGAATGTAACTTTTGTAAGCAATGGGTACATTGTAGATGTGACACCGGAGTACCAAAGGTATATTACGATTTTATGCGTAAGAACCCATGCCCATGGTTCTGGTACATTTGCCCAAGTTGCCGTCCTAATGCAGCCTCGTGTAGTTCCTCGAAAGCTACAGATGTCATAGAGATATCAGGAAAAAACGTGAAACGTTTCACTCCCACCAACTCAGAAAACAGCACAATTGCATGTAAATCGGGGATACCAAAATCCACACCGGTTATACTTGCAATTCCTGCCATAACTGCCCCAGACACAGAGGTTGAAGCACCAAGGGTACCTGTCGCCGGGAAAAGACCCTTACCGTCCACCAGTAAAAGTGGCCACAGCACTGCGACACATAATAATACCCAGTTGCACCAGATGAAACAAAACGGTCTTAAGGGGGATGACAAATGTGCGAGGACTGAACCTAAATCCACGGTCAGTCGATCAAACTGCGTTATCCTCTTTAATGTACCAGACTGTAGCAGTAGTCTGCTGGAAAACAGGGCCCTGTTTGATCAGGAACAGTGGTCCAACTTATGTAGCACACTGGGTCTGGACATCCAACCAGTAAAACTGTGCAGATTGTATAAGGGCACTGCTGCTCCTCAAGGCAAACCATCCCCACTGAGGGTAACACTAGGCTCTGCCGAAGATGCCGAAAAAGTTTTATTGACTTCCCAAGTCCTTTCTATAGGGAGGACCTGCAATATACGTGTTAGGCCAGATAGGCCATGGAAGGAAAGACAGATGGCGAGGGAGTCGCCAGAGCTTATTCCTTCTGCCTCCATGGTTGTTCACGGCATTCCTGAACTGGAAACTGGGAACGCTTGTGAAAAGCACTGTCACGATGTCCAGCAATGGAGATGGTTGGCATCCCAGATGGGTCTGGGAAGTTCAGGGGCTGTCTCTATTTTTAGACTGCCTCGACCCACTCACCTAATGTCAATTAACACCCCACATCTGTTAGCTGTTAAGTTTAGCTCCCGAGACCACTTGACTACTGCTCTCCAGAGATGGTACGAGACCAAAGACAAGGTCAGCAGACACATTCGCTGCTGCGAGAGCCGGCCTCGTACCCAAAGGAGAGAGCAAAACGTTGTCATAGAACATCCCCAACCCCTAGTCACAATACAGCGGTGCAGCACGGACGATGATAGCCAGTGCCATCCAAGTGCTCCGATTGAATCAGAAGAAAAAAACTCCAACAGGCCGGTTCCCGGGGAATCGGCCAACTAGTTCGTAGGATAACTCCTCAACCGACAGCCCACATCACGTCAACCACCCCCCAATACGGGGACGTGGTGAGACTGACTACCAGTTGCCTGTACAGTAATGTGAGAGGTCTAAGAGGCAAAATAGCTGAACTTAGATACCTACAATCACAGCTGAACTCCAAAATCATAATACTGACGGAAACCTGGCTAACCCCTACGGTGGCAGACAGCGAAGTCAGTATAAATGATATGGTCCTTGTCAGGCGAGATAGGGATCTGAAAGAAGGAGGTGGAGTCGCCATATACGTCGACAAACAGCTCAGATGTGTCCATGCAATCGACCCTCCCCTCATTGAGCTCCCTGACTCCATATGGTGCCATTTCACCGTTGGGTACTGTAAGTATCTAGTGGGCAGCATTTACAGATCACCTTCATGTGGAGCAGACCACAACCAGGTACTGCTGAATGCAATTTCAGCGACACATGACATGGGTTATGATCAAATTGTCATAGCTGGAGACTTCAATGCCCCATCTCTTAACTTGATGACGGGATGTGCCCAGGACAGATTTGATCGAAATCTGCTGCATACCATCACGGAGGCCGGACTGACCGAAAATGTCAGAATGGATACTAGATGGGGCCCAGATGGGAAGTCTTCTAGACTGGATTACGTGCTCACTAGTGACCAGCTACTAGTGGAAAACGTTCAGATCACGACTCCCATAGGTAGTAGTGACCATGCGGTCATAACATTCGACATAGTCCTCCGCGAGCGTTTACAGTGGGACAATACACAGCCCTATCTGTGTTATAACAAAGCCAATTACACCGAAATGCGAAGACTTTTGTCTGAAGCAAATTGGCCAAAAAATTGGACAGAGCTTACAGTAGAAGAACACTGGAGAGTGGTAAAGGAGATCATTCACCAGGCGATCTCAGACACTGTTCCTTTGGTCACACCTAAAGCTAGAAAGCAACGTTCATGGCTAAAAAGGGGGACACAACGCCTTCTACAGGCGAAGCGAAAAGCCTGGTTTGCGTGGCGAGTATCGCAGAGTCAACCCGAACATGAAGAGTACCTCGAACTCAGGAATCGGTGTAACATACGAGTCCGGAGTGATAGAAGGACATTTCAGAGAAACCTCGCCAATAAGCTTCTCGTGAACCCCAAAAGCCTATACAGGTTT